AGTAGTAGTAGTGTTAGTCGTAGTAGTAGTAGTAGAAGTAGTAGTAGTAGTAGTAGTAGTAGTAGTAGTAGTAGTAGTAGTCATGAGTAGTAGTAGTAGTAGTAGTAGTAGTAGTAGTAGTAGTAGTAGTAGTAGTAGTAGGTAGTAGTAGTCATAGTCGTGGTCGTAGTCGTAGTCGTAGTCGTAGTAGTTGCTGTAGTTGGTGCTGGTATTGTTGTTGTTTTTGTTTTTTGCTGCTGCTGCTGCTCCTCGTGTTGTTGCGTTTTCTGTGTGCATATATCGATATACGAATCAATACTTTAATGTGGTTCCCTTGGCGAGTTGAGGGCCCAGCGCGGTGAGGGGCCCATGGACCATCTAGCGGCCCCTCGCGGCGCGGTGGCGACACTGGGCGTGTGCAGCTGACCTACCCAGTCGTTATCCGTAGCCACGCAGTCAGTCCTTACCCCGCCTACCTCTGGAGGCATCCTTGTCTTCACCCTCTTCTTCTGTGCAATCGCTGATGCCTTGCGTCTGTGCGTTTTGACTTGCGTGCCCAGCTTCGCTTTCTTTTCCACCAGCCCGAGCCCCCGACGTCGTGATTTGTTCACAACGTCGACCCCCAAAGGTCTGGACCTCTTCCCCGGGACCGGTTTTTCATCCCTGGGTCGTTTTTTGATGGTCGCGGGACCCGTCAAGGGCCCCCGGCGGCCGAAACTAGCGAACAAATCCCGTCATGAGTTTTTGCAATTCGAGGGGTCTGGGAATGTCACAGCAACCTGTGTAATCCGCCTCACGCAGGCATGGCCCAGCATTCGAGTCCGTCGGCCATGTGTGGCCGTGCAGGGGGTTGCTGATGCCGCATCCTCCCAGGGCAGTGCTCTCCGCTATCGGCATTTCCGCACTTCACTGCATACTCTATTTGTTTTGCAAGCCTTTCCTCTTGATTTCCTCACCCCCCCTCTGCGTTTCCCGTGGTTGAGCGTGGCGAGCAGTCCACCAGAGGCCCCGCAGCCGGGCTGTGGATGCGCCGCTCCTCGTCGAGGGTTTTTTACACGGCTTCCGGCACTTCCGCCGCAATCGTTCGGCATTCCACGCCCCTGTCGTCGTGGTACCGAATCTTATGCACTTTTTCAGTCGGCGCGCGCGTCCGTCGCATTTGAAGGACCTGCCTGCGGACCCAGTGCTTCGTAGTCGGTCACTTGACGTCCGTTTTTTTCAGGAAGGTTTTTTTTGTGGAGGGAGATCAGATGGGACAATCAGAGCTCCCACTGCAATGGTCCGCAGTTGCATAAATATAGGCAGTCACCTCAGTCAGCGGAGCGTTTCTAGATCTGCTCGTCATCGTGTCCGCCCGCGTTGCTACTTTGGTCCAGCTTTTGTTGTTGTTGTTGTTCTATATGTTTGTGTTCGTTTGCCTGTCTGTCTGTCTGTCTGTCTGTGTGTTTGTTTGTTTGTTTGTTTGTTTGTTTGTTTGTTTGTGTGTGTTTTGTTACTATAGTTTGGGATGTATACATATAAATGTATAAAACTAGAGTTTACCTCGGCGGTGTCACCTTTAGTGGCGTGCTGTGCGATATTCAAGAATTGCTACGGGATGTGGCATCACTGGTGTGAGGTTGAAGGGGGGTTACAGCTGGCTCTACTATCGGACGCCCATCTGGGTTTCCCACATTTCCCTGCTTCAGCTGCTCTTATCATTATCCTGTTGTTGTCCAATGTTGCATGGCGCACCCGTTTCCTTCTTTGCGCGTGAACCACTATATACTACTAATACTCTTTGCTGAAGTCAGGCCAATGCAAACATATGATACATAACCAGAGGAGGAGGAGGAGGAAGAGCAGAGAGGAAAGGCAGGAGGGGACCAGGCGGAGGAGGAGGAGGAAGAGGAGGAAAAGGAGGAAACCGAAGAGAAAGAGGGATAGGAGGAAGAGAAGAGGGAAGGATTTGTGAGGATGATACTGAGGATGAGGTGAAAGAGTAAACCCTGGATGTGAATAAACGATTGCGCAGTGTATCCTCCTGCTTCAGGTCTCATGCTGATGAGTCCCTGCGCGCCGTATTTTCACTACTGACGCCAAACGCACCCTTGAAAGAAAAGGCCCCAAATGTCCTGCCATTCAAGCGAGAGCCACGTTGTAAAAGGAAGTGACTCCATTCTTCCTGACACAAAAAATGCCACGAGGTACGATCATTAACTTCAGGGAGGAGGATGAGGAGGAGGAGAGGGAGGGAAGATAAAGAGGAGGATAAAGAGGAGGATAAGGAGAAGGAGAGAGTCAGGATGGCGAGGAGGAGCTGTGGGATGTGGGGGACAAGTAGGGTGACGAGGACGAGGACGAATTTGAGGAGGGCCACAGGGGGAGGAGGAGGAGGAGGAGGAGGTGGAGGAGGAGGAGGAGGAGGAGGTGGAGGAAGAGGAGGAGGAGGAGGAAGATGAACGAGGAGCATTCGAGGGGACAGTGGTGGGAGGAGGAGGGGTGGCTCCACAGCGCGCAGCTGCACGCCGCGCCGCGCCGGAGCCATCTTGGTTCACGGGATCCCGGAAACAATTCGAGTCCAGTGAGACGCTTGGGGGAGGCCCCGGCCGTCGGTGGGGAGGGGAGGGAGGAGGAGGGATGGTCGCAGGCCTAGAGATTGACACCAACGCAAGCACAAGAGGTTGCCTCCACATGGGGAAACTGATCCTAGATTTCGGTGTTGGTGGTAATATTTCGGTCACCTTGGAAACCAAAATATTACCACCATCACCGAGATTGGGATCGTCCTCCCTCGGTGGAGGCACACCGCCGATCTTGGTGTTGGTGTCAACCTCTGGGCCTGCGAGGATGGGGGTTTCGGGGGCGGCAAAGAGGGGGGTGATGACTAGGGGGGGTGGATACCATGGCGTGGGCCATGATCTTTCCCCAGATTTCATGGCGCCTCTTCTTATTTCATTACGTCCCTGGACCCCCCGCTGGGCCGCGCACATGCCGCCGGCCCTGATTTGCACACTCCCCTCTTGGACACCCCCCTCTTGGCCGCTCCCGAGGGTTGGGCGCGATGATGGTTCTATCGAGTTTCTATTGTCGGGGCGGGGCCCTTGTGATGTTCTGTGGGGGCATCTCGAGGGCTTCTCGGGGCCAGCTAAGGTTGTTAGAGGCCATGCTAGGCCGAAAACCCATCCCCGATCCGAGGCACACGCTGTTCGTTCTGTCGTTTCATGGCATCGCGGGGCTCCTTGGGAAGGCCTCTTGGCTCCTGCATCCTTCTCGGGGCGGTCTCGGGCCATCATGGGGCCATCCTGGTGTGGCGAAGAGCCCCTCCGCCCTCGGCCCCTCCGCCCTCGGCCCCTCCGCCCTCGGCCCCTCCGCCCTCGGCCCTCCTGGTGTGGCGAAGAGCCCCTCCGCTTTGCCTCAGGCCATGGGCCCCTCCGCCCTCGGCCCTCGCTGGTGCTCGCGCCCGTGCAGACGTCCCGGGCCTGCGCGGCGGCTCCGTGCGGCCTCCTCCTCCTCCTCCTCCTCCTCCTCCTCCTCCTCCTCCTCCTCCTCCTCCTCCAGTGCCCCTCCTCCCTCCTCCTCCTCCTCCTCCTCCTCCTCCTCCTCCTCCTCCTCCTCCTCCTCCTCCCCCTCCTCCTCCTCAGTGCCCCTCCCTCCTCCTCCTCCTCCTCCTCCTCCTCCTCCTCCTCCTCCTCCTCCTCCTCCTCCTCCCTCCCTCCCCCCTCCCTCCCTCCCTCCCTCCCTCCCTCCCTCCCTCCCTCCCTCCCTCCCTCCCTCCTCCCTCCCCCCCGCTCGAGGCCCCGGCTGGAGCCCGCGCGATGGCGCCCTCGCCGGCCTCGCCCGACCCGCCGCCGTCGACCGTGCCCGAGCGCCCGTTCTTGCTCAACGAGAAGTGCGCCCGCCGCGCGGCCGCCGCCCCCTCCTCCTCCTCCTCCTCCGCCTCCGCCTCCTCCTCCTCCTCCGCCGCCTCCTCCTCCTCCTCCGCCTCCTCCTCCTCCTCCTCCTCCTTCTCCTCCGCTTCCGCCTCCTCCTCCTCCTCCTCCGCCTCCTCGGTCCTCGATCCTCCTCATCCTCCTGCCGCCCCCATGCGTTGGAAGATGAGGATGAGGGCATGGGAAGTTAGGATGAGGAGAGGAGAGGCAAAAGGAGGAGGAGGAGGAGGAGGAGGAGGAGGAGGAGGAGCAGGAGGAGAAGATCTCTTGGGAGCCTCTCGGTTCATTCTTGGGGCTTCCCGGGAGTTTCTTGGGGAGGCCCCTTCGGGGCCTCCTTGGGCCTCTTGGGGGCCTTTGGGGGCTTGGTGGTGGCCTCTTTGGCCGTCAGAGGGCGTGCCTGGCTGGTCGAGCGCAGTTGAAAGCCGTCTTGGGGGCCTCTCTGGGCCGTCTTGGGGCTCTCATGGGGCGCGTGAGAACCGTCTTGGGAGGCAATGTTGGGCGTTTCGGAGGCCTCTTGGGCCGTCTTGGGGCCCTCTTTGGGCCCGTCTTGGGGGCCTCTTGGCTCTTTGTGGGGCCATCTTGGAGGCCTCTTGGGCGATCTCGGGGGCCTCTTGGGCCGTCTTGGGGCTCTCACGGGGCGCGTGAGAACCGTCTTGCAGGCAAGGCTGGGCGTTTCGGAGGCCTCTTGGGCCGTCTTGGGGCCCTCTTGGGGCCCGTCTTGGGGGCCTCTTGGCTCGTCGTATGGCCATCTTGGAGGTCTCTTGGGCGATCTTGGGGGCCTCTTGGACCGTTGGAAGGCTGGAAAAAAAAAATACAAACATCAAGTGAAAGCCATAGGAAAATCAATGATTTTGGCATCGTCGGGCCTTCCTGGAGGATCTCTTGGAGGCCTCTTGGGCCATCTTCAGGGCCTCTTGGGCCATCTTCGGGGCCTCTTGGGCTCACTTTGACCGTCTTGGCGGTCTTGGAGGCATCCTGGGACTGTTCTGGCGGCCATCTTGGGGCTGCCATCGTGGAGGCCGCCCTGCGCGAGCAAAACACCGACGGGAGGGGCAGCCGCCGCCATGGGCCGACGCCCCCAGGGGACTTTTTCAGAAGCACCCCCAAAAACACCAGAACCTTGTTATACATCAACAGGCACCCCTGTTATACATCAACCTCCGAAAACACTCCCAAAAACACACCCAAAAACACCCCCAAAGACACCCCCCAAAACAGCCCCAAAAACACCCCCCAAAACACCCCCAAACACCAGAAACACCCCCCAAAACACGCCAGGCACCCCTGTTATACGTCAACAGGAGGCGGCGGATCGAAAACGACCACGGCGAATCACCGCCACCCCCTGCCTTTCAGGGGCACCCCTGTGTGGCCAAACTTTGGGGCAGCGTATGGCCACGCTATTGGACCATGCGTTTCCCCGGCCGTCGTGGAAGTCCTTCGGGGTACACGTGGGGGAGGAAGAGGAGGATGAGGAGAGGGAGGAAAAAGGAGGATGAGGAGAAGGATGAGGAGACCTCTCGGGAAGCTTTTTGGATAGTTCTTGGGGCCTCCTGGCAGCTTCCTGTGGTCCTCTTGGAGGCCTCTTGGGGGCCTCCTTGGGCCTCTCGGAGGCCTTCGGTGGCTTTTTGGTGGCCTCTTTGGCCGTCGTACGGCGTTCCTGGTCCGTCTAACGCCGTCAGAAGCCGTTTTGGGAGCCTCTCTGGGCCGTCTTGGGGTTCTCTTGGGGTGCTTCAGGGTCGTCTTGAAGGCCATCTTGGTCGTCTTGGAGTCCTTTGGGGGCCGTCTTGGGAGCCTCGTGGGCCGTCCTGGGGCCATCTTGGAGGCCTCTTGGCCGATCGTGGGACAGTCTTGGGGGCCTCTTGGACCGCCTTGGGATGCTGGAAGGCTGTTTTGAAGCAAATGCGGAAATTGGTCAGGCCTTGCTGGAGGACCTCTTGGAGGCCTCGTGTGCCATCTTCGGGGCCTCGTGGGCCATCTTCGGGGCCTCTTGGGCGCTCTTGGACCGTCTTGGCGGTCTTGGAAGCACCTTGGGACCTTCTTGGAGGCCATCTTGGGGCCATCTTGGGCTCTCTTGGGCCATACTGGCCGTCTTGGGGGCATCTTGGGACCGTCTTCGAGGCCATCTTGAGGCTATCTGGAGAGCAGAAAGTGCCTGCAGGAGCGGCAGCGGGCGCCCTGGGCCGAAGCTCACGGGGGAGTTCTTTTTAGAAAAGAACCGGAAACCATTCACGCCAGGCGCCCCTGTGATAAATTAACACGGGACGTCGGATGGAAGAATCTCGAGGCCATCTTAGCCGTCTTGGAGGCCATCTTGGCCATGTTGGAGACATCTTGGAGGCCATCTTGGACCATCTTGGCGGTATTGAAAGCCATTTGATCCGTCTTGGGTGATTTTTTGGGAGACTTCGGCGCCTTTCTTGGAAGGCCTTCTGGAAGCCCCTTCGAGGCGGTTTCAGGATGTTTTGCGGCTTCTCGGTGGTCTTTTCGGGCCTCCGGGGGCTCGATTTTGGCTCCTTGGGGGCCTGCTCTCTTGGGGCTTCTTGGGGGCCTCTTTCAGGCCTGCTGGCGGTCTCGGGGTTCATCTTTAGGTGGAGGGTTCGAAATGTCAGCTCGATTTCCCCCTGCTGGGGCCATCTTGGGGCCCTCTTTGACCGTCGTGGGGTCCTCTTGGATGTCTGTTGGGCCGTCTAGAGGTGATCTTGGGAGCCTCTTGGGTCGTCTTGGAGCGTTGGAAGATCGAAACGGCGAGAACGCTGAAGTCATTGTAAATCAATAGGGAAGTCAATGCTTTTGGCCTCTTGGGGCCCTTTTGGGGGTGCTCTTGGGGCGTCTTGGGGGCCTCTTGGGCTGTTTTCAGGCCATCTTGGCCGTCTTGGTGCGATCTTTGGGCGACTCAGGGCCTTTTCGAACCGTCTCGTGGGCCTCTTGGGCCCCTCCTGGCCCATGTGAAGGCTAGGCAGAGGGCTCTAAGGGACCTTCGGTCCTCTCTGGGAAGTCGGGGGTTCCTTTGGCATGTCAAGGCCGTCTTGTACGTCTGGGGCCGTCTTGGGGCCGTGGGCCGTCTTGGGGCCTTCTTGGGCCGTCGTGTGGGCCTCTCGGGGGCCTCTCGGGCCGTCTTGGGGCGATCTTGGGGTCCTCTGGGGCCGTCTGGGAGTGTCGGAAGCCAGACAAGGCGAGAACGCTAAAATCGTTGAACGACCTAAGGGGGATCAATGATTTTGGCCTCCTGGAGGTCCTCGTGCAAACCTCTTGGGGCGTCTTTGGGGGCCGCCTGGAGGGCATCTTGGGCTGTCTTGGGGCCGTCTTGGCCGTCTTGGAGGCGTCTTGGGACTGTCTTGGAGGCCATCAGAAGCCGTCTCGAGTGGGAATGGGCGCTCTTGAGCTCGATCTTGGTGGCCTTTGGGGTCGTCGTGGGCCCTCGGAAAGCCGAAAATGAGCAAACGCCAACATCTCACACATACCATCGGAACATACATGTTTTTGGCCTCTTCGGGCCTTCCAGGAAGTCCTCCTGTAGGCCTCCTGGGCCTCTCTTGGGACGTCTTGGCAGGCTCTTGGGTCATTTTGAGGCCATGTTGGGCCTTTTTGGGTCCATCTTGGGCCATCTGGGACTGCTCTCTTGAAGGCATCTTGGCTGTCTTGGGGCATGTTGGGACCGTCTCGGAGGTTATCTTGCGCCAACTCAGCCGTCTTGGAGGCATCTCGGAGACCATCTTGGGCCATCTTGGAGCCGTCTGGAGCGGAACAATCCTTGCGAACCAGGTCTTGCTGAGCTTTCCAGGTGGCCGGTGTGCTGGGCCGACGCCCATGGGGGAGTTCTTTTAGAAAAGAGTCAACAACCACCAACTGTCCAGTGCACCAGGCACCCCTTTGATACTCAAAAGGGGCGGATGATCGAAGACGCCTACGGCGAACCACCGCCGCCCCCTGCCTTTTTGGAAGCGCCTATGTGGCCGAACGTTGAGGCCAGACCTGCCAAGCTATCGGGCCATGTGTTCCCGAATCGGTTTGGAAAGCCCTCGGGGAACACGTGGGCATCTTGAAGGTCATCTTGGCCGTCTGGAGGCCATTTTGACCCTTTCGGGCCTTCTTGGAGGACGTCTTGGAGGGCTCTTGGGTCGTCTTGGAGGCCATCTTGAACGTCTTGGAGACCTCTTGGGCCGTCTTGGGGGCCTCTTGGGGCCGTGTCTTGGGCCTCTTGGGTGATCTTTGGGGGCACTTGGGCCGTCTCGGGCCGTCGGAAGGCCGAACAAAAAGCAAATGCCACAATCCTTCAACAACCCATGGCAAATCCAGGATTTTGGCCTTTTCGGCCCTTCCTGGAGGCCCTCTTGGAGGCCTCTTGGGCCGTCTTGGGCCATCTTAGGGCCATGTTCGGCCGTCTTGGTGGGCTCCTGGTCCGTCTGACGCCGTCGGAAGCCGTTTTTTGGGGCCTCTATGGGCCGACTTGGGGCCCTCTTGGAATACTCCAGGGCCGTCTTGCAGGCCATCTTGGGCGTCTTAAAGGCCTCCTGTGCCGTCTTGGGGGCCTTTTGGGGCCGTCTTGGGGCCCTCGTGGGCCGTTCTGGGGCCATTTTGATCGCCTCTTGGGCGATCTTTCGGAGATCTTGGGGGGCCTCTTGGGCCGTCTCGGACCGTCGGAAGGCCGAAAAGAAGCAAATGTCAAAATCCGGCAAAAACCTTAGGAACATCAATGTTTTGGCCTCTTCTGGCCTTCCCGGAGGCCCTCTTCGGGGCCTCTTGGGCCGTCTTGGGCCAGCTTCGAGCCAACTTCGGCCATCTTGGTGGGTTCCTGGCACGTCTGACGCCGTCGGGAGCCGTCTGAGAGGCCTTTCTGGGCCAGCGCCTCGGGGCCATCTTGGAGGCCATCTTGGGCGTCTTGGAGGCCATCTTGGGCGTGTTGGAGGCCTCTTGGGCCGTCTTGGGGCCCTCTTGGGGCCGTCTTGGAGGCCACTTGGGCCGTCATGGGGCCCTCGTGGGGGCCTCTTGGGCGATCTTGGGGGCCTCGTGGGCCGTCTTGAGCCGTCGGAATGCCGAGAAGAAACAAATTCCCAAATCCTTCAAATACCGAGAGAAATCAATGATTTTTGGCCTCTTGGGGCCCTCCTGGAGGACCTCTTGGAGGCCTCTTGGGCCGTCTTGGAGGCCTCTGGGGGGCCTCTTGGGCCGTCTTGGGCAGTCTTGGACTCTCTTGGGCCGTCTTGGAGTCCGTCTCGGACCATCTTGGGCGGACTTGGAGGCCATCTTGGACCATCTTGGAGGCCATCTTGGGCCAACGTTGCCATCTTGGAGGCCATCTTGAACCATCTTGGAGGATTTTTTTCCGGATTGAGCTCCTTGAGATCCTTTCTGGGTGGCCGGCGGGACGGGCCCGAAGCCCCAGGGGGAGTTCTTTTGGAAAAAGAACCAAAACCCAAACCGAGAGGGTCCAGCACGCCAGGCACCCCTTTGATAAATCAAAAGGGGGCGGCGGGTATCGAAGACGCCTACGGCGAATCACCGCCGCCCCCTGCCTTTTTGGAAACGCCGATGTGGCCGAAAGTTGGACTAGAGCTTGGCCAAGCTATCGGACCATGAGTTCCCCGAGTCGGTTTTGAAAGCTTTCGGGGAACACATGGGAGAGAATGATTATGAACAGGAAGAGGAAGAGGAAGAAATAGAGTAGGAGGATGAGGGTTGTTAGGAGTCTCTTGGGGCACCCTTGGGGTCTGTTGGGGGCTTCTTGGGGGCCTCTTCGAGGCCTCTTGGAGGCATCTTGGGGGCCTCCTTGGGCCTCTTGGGGGCCTTTGGGGGCTTCCTGGGGGTCTCTTTGGCCGTCTTAGGGCGTTCCTGGTCCGTCTGACGCCGTCTGGAGCCGTCTTGGGGGCCTCTCTGGGCCGTCTTGGGGCCCTCTTGGGGCGCTTCAGGGCCGTCTTGGAGGCCATGTTGGGCGTCTTGGAGGCCTCTTGGGCCGTCTTGGGGCGCTCTTGGGGCCGTCTTGGGGGGCCCTTGGGCCGTCATAGGGCCTTCTTGGAGGCCTCTTGGGCGATCTTGGGGGCCTCTTGGGCCGTCGGAAGGCCGAAAAGAAGAAAACGCAAAAAACCTTCAAAAACCTAAGGAAAACCAATGATTTTGGCCTCTTCGGGCTCTCCTGGAGAACGTCTTGGAGGCCTCTTGGGCCATCTTGGAGGCATCTTGGGGCCATCTTGGCCGTCTTGGAGGGCATCTTGGGCCGTCTTGGAGGCATCTTGGAGCCATCTTAGCCGTCTTAGAGACCATCCTGGCCGTCTTAGAGGCATCTTGGAGGCCATCTTGGAACCGTCTGGGGCAGGAAATTGGGGAATTGAGCTCCTGGGCATCCTTTCCGGGTGGCCGGCGGGACGGGCCGAAGCCCATTGGGGAGTTCTTTTAGAAAAAGAACCAAAACCAAAACCGATAAAATCTAACACGCCAGGCAATCCTGCAAGCAGGGGGCGGCGGATTGTGGCCTTCGGCCCATCCCGCCACCGTGCCTGGATCGTGGACCAGGGGCCGTTGGAATACATTTGTAAGGGTCTCTTGGGAGGCCTCATGGGGGCCTCTGGGGGGCTATGGAGGACTTCTTGGGGTCCTCTTGGGGGCCTGCTGGCGGTCTCGAAGGTCATCTTGGGGCGGAGGGTTCGAAATGTCAGTTCGTGTTCCCTCTCTTGGGCCGTCTTGGGGGCCTCTGAGGCCGTCTTGGGGCCGTCTGGAGCCTCTTTGGCCGTTTTGGAGCAATCTCGGGGGCCTCTTGGGCCGTTTGGAGCAGCGGAAGATTGAAAAGAGGAGAACGCTAACCTCGTTTTAAATAAAGCAATGAAAGGTTTAGCGAATCTGGCCTCGTGTGATCCTCTTGTGGGTCCTCTTGGGGCCCTGTTGGGCCGTCTTGGAGGCCTCTTAGGTCATCTGGGCGTCTTGAACCTCAGTTGTTGAAACAGGGCCAATCAAGCCTGAGGATTACCCGAAAGGTGTGACGCAGCTGTGGCCGCCAGGAAGTCAGGGAAAGCTTTGACCCAACGAGCGTCTCCCTCGACGCCCTATGTGACGACTGGCCCAGCACTCCCCCTCACACACACACACCGACAGGGTCTGCGAATTTCGCAAGGTCGCATATTGGCAGTTGTTCGTATGCACGACGTATGCCGCTCAAGTTTCTTGGAAACACGTCTCATCGCACGTGTGGTCTCATTGCACGTGTGATCTTAGAATTCGGGAGTTGGGATACCGTATATGGGAGGTGCATGGCCGGTGCATATTTCATGCGCACCAGTGTTCTTTACGCCACATCGTGGCACCATCTACGTCACACACAACTCGGGCAGTCCTTGTGCTGATAGCACAGAGCTTTGCGCAGAGCTGATCATCTGCTGCTATGCTGCATTTCGATATTGTAGGACCGCGCGCACCATATGCGCACAAACACCTATGACGCAGCGTTGACACCGATCGTGTACATTTCAACCGTGATCCTATGTAAGTCAGATCAGCGTTGTACACTAATGTCGGTGAAACGGGGACGTGATACTTCCGTGTGCACATAAGCAACACACGTGCGAATTGGTATCCCCGCGCGCATTTGACTGCGCATGCGCATGTGTCATTTACGCATATTTGCACGCACACATACACATGCACGTACACATTTGCTTTCCGTATGCACGTGCAGGTTGACATGCACATGAATGTGGACGATAACATGTACTGGTACGTGCACGCATACGCATGAGCGGACCCACTGACAAGCACATAGTCGTACCCACACGTAACTATACTCATGCACATGCACCCCCCCCACACGCACATACACACACAGACGCACGTGCATGTACATGCATACGCACACATGCACGTACACATTCGCTTTTGTGTGTGCACGTGCAGACTGACATACACATGCATGCGCACGATGGCACGGAAGGATACGGGTACGCATACGCATGAGCGTACCGATGTACACGCGCATAGTCGCACCCACACTCGTAAATGTGCATGGGCACTTACATGCACCCCCACACGCACACACAATACACAACACACACACACACGCGTGCACGCACGTGCATGCACCTGCATACGCACAGTGTCATGCGGATATGCATACACGGACGGATGGACGGACGACACTACACAGAACGCTGGACATGCAGTGGAATGTAGGCGCGCAGACGGGCAGACGGACGTGCGCCCATTTAGACGCATTCATACACTGCACGCAGTGGAGTTGCACGCGAGAGGAGGCTGCAACATGGAGAGGACGGGTGCGACGCGCGGAGGGGGGATTGGGCCAGGGAGGTTAGGGCGGTTGGAGCGGCTAGGGCACAGAGACCAGCAGGGAGGAGGAGGAGGAGGAGGAGGAGGAGGAGGTGGAGGAGGAGGAGGAGGAGGAGGAGGAGGAGAAGGGGAAGGAGGAGGAGGAGGAGGACCTGGTTGTATCAGGGCGGTTTGGGGGGGAAGCCGAACCGCAGGAATGACTCGGGCCGGTGAGGTTTGCGAGAGGCGGGCGGACGATCAGACTTGAGAGAGGCACCGAGTTTGTGGGTTGGGTCCCGCGACAGCGAACAAGTCGTTGCAACGATTCAAGCAGCAGTGGGTTGCAATGTCTGTGTGCAAGTGCGCGCGGGATGTGTATGCGGGCGCAATGTGAATGCGCACCCTCCGAACGGTTTGCCGAGGTGCGGTCTTCCTACGCTTTCGTGGTGCACTCATGACCGCTCGTCGGGGCAAGCACCTATTACTTTTTGCGGCGGAAGGGGGCGGACTTGTGCCACTCTCGCACACCTGAATAGATCGTGTGCGGTGATTATTTTTTCACTGATTCGGATCGATCACATCTGCCCAGTGAAAGCCCACACACATTCGCGAGTGCGAGCAAATGTGCACAGGAGTGCGGCTGCGCGCGACCGAGCAGGGGGAGGCATGCATGTGTGTGTGTGTGTATGTTTGTGTTTGTGTACGTGTGTGTGTGTGTGTGTGTGTGTGTGTGTGTGTCTGTGCGTGTGCGTGCGTGTGTGTGTGTGTGTGTGTGTGTGTGTGTGTGTGTGTGTGTGTGTGCGTGCGTGCGTGCGTGCGTGCGTGCGTGCGTGCGTGCGTGCGTGCGTGCGTGCGTGTGTGCGCGCGCGAGAGCGTGCGCGCACTGTGGTTCTTATGAGCAGAGCGTCTAGATCACGCGGGAGTGTGCCGTGCGTGCTTCGGGACCATTCGGTGAAGGGTAAGAACATGCATTTTCAAGTGATCTATTCCTTGGTCCGAGGTTCAGTGTACAGAGCTACGACGGGAGTTCGTTCAAGAACCGTGCCCAATATGACGTGAAGAACGCGCTCATCCCGATCATTGAGCCTTTCCATTGCTCGGGCGAGAAGGGAGAGGGAGGAGCAGCGAAAAGGCAATGCAGGGCAGGATGTAACGAGCATGGTGGGAGATGTGCGGGATCATCCGTTCAGAGTGAAGTTTTCGGACTCGGTGCGAGCGTACCCCTGGAATGCCCCTTGCATCATCTTCACGAGTGACGCTGTCCGCCTTGGGCACATTCCCATTAGCGAGATTCATAGTTTCGTAGCAGTGCGCTTCATTCTCTTTGTTATCGTGTTTCACTCGCCCGTCTTTTCAGGTATGATCGTGCTTTGGTTTCAGGTGTGCCCCGTGTGTTTTGTAGTATATGTCCTGTGTCAACGCGCATTTAGCGTCCTGTGCCGTGAGCGTCTGGATCGTAGTTCCTCCTCTAGCTCGCAATTGTTTTCTTTACGTCTCGCGTGTCCCCACCAGTCCATCTAGGAATTACGTTTCGCGTGTCCCCCCTTTATGTGGAGGCTTGCTCGGATGCGCTTGGGGGTCTCGTGGAAGTGTGCTGGGGTCCTCCTCATCGTCCTCCGTTAGTTTCCCCTTCCTTGCCTCTGAGGCCTTTCGCTACGAGGAGGTGGAGGGAGAAACAGTTTTTTTTGTTGGTTGGGATCAGGATCGGCAAGTGCATACCGTACGGGAAGAGGGAGGAGGCCGGAGGGAGGAGCAGGAAGAAGGGAGCCATGTTATTTACGCGCAGGTTACGAGGTAAGAGGAGGGACTTTGACTTCGGAACTCGGAACTCGGAGGTCCTCGAAAATCCGCCAGGGGCGGCCTTGCTGGGGGTGTGCAGGACGCGAAACCGCCTGCAGACCATAAGAGGAGGGAGTAGGGAGGAGTAGGCAGCATGGATGGGGGCAGACGGGCGACAAGAAGGAGGGATAAGTCAAGTGACTGAGACCCTCTCCCGAGGGTCCCGAGTTATTCGCCCCAAATGGTACAACAATGGGTCTAGTTTTGTGGAGGACGATCAATGGAGAGGAAGCATGTTGCCCAATAATTTACAGATGTCTACAATATGTATTAAACATGTTTTGAACATGTAGGACACACGTTTAAAGCATGTTAAAACATTTATCCGACATTTCAAACACATGTCAAATTCAATTATAGGACTGGTCGGATGTCCATTTAGTTTCACATCTTTGAGCGGCGAAGCTAGGGAGTAATTCCGGCGCGACGGGGGGCTATGGCAAAAACATGTCGACGGAGTTGTTTCTTTTTTATATTAAATTTTAAAAAAGAAAATCATTTATATATATATATATATATATATGTAATTTTACATATACACACCTGTTTAATTGACTCGTAGAGCTTCCCTCAGAGCGTTAGCAGCGAAGCTCGAGAGTAATTCTGGCACGCTGGGGGGCTAGTCGGCAAAGAAATCTCGATGCAAGTTTTACATAATTCTGTTCGGTTTTAATGACTTGTAGAGCTTCCCTAAGAGCGTTAGCGGCGAAGCTAGAGAGTAATTCCGGCGCGCTGGGGGGCTAGTTGGCATATGAGTTAAAAGCCTAGTTTCACATCTTTTATGCCACAGAGCAGACGCCAGCGCAAAGAGTAAGTAAGCATAACGTTTTGGATTGACTGGCCTCGAAACGAGCGGCACTTTCGTGTACCTACCGCAGTTGTTTTCAAGGGCTCCCAAGAGACTGGCCAAGAACCCCCCAAGACACGCCCAAGAGGCCTCCCAGACAGGCGAAGGGACCCCCCAAAGGTCCCACAGGCCGTCCACGAGGCTCTCGGAGACGGCCCACGGGAAGCCCACGGGAAGGCCTCAAGAGCCGCCCCAAAGCTCCCAATAGGCTTACAAACACGGGCAGGATCCGCAGGAAGCTCGAATATTGCCGACAATCTCCAGAACGCATAAGAGAGCCCCACGAGACCGTAGAAATGGCAACCCATTAGAAGAGTGATACAAGATGGGGCCTCCTCCCTCTCTTCCTGCTCGCTCTCCCCGTCCTTCTTCTCCTCTCTTCCTCCTCGTTTCCTCCTGCCCTCCTTGTCTTCCTCCTCTCTTCCTCCTCTCTTCCTCCTCTCTTCCTCTCTTCCTTCTCTTCCTCCTCTCTTCCTCCTCTCTTCCTCCTCTCTTCCTCCTCTCTTCCTCCTCTTCCTCCTCGTTTCCTCATCTTCCTCCTCGTTTCCTCCTGCCCTCTGCCCCGTCCTTCTTACCGTGCCCTTGTTCTTCTTCTTCTTCCTCCTCCTCCTCGCTTTCTTCTTCTTCTTATTCTTCTACTTCTTCTATTTCTTCTTCTTTTTCTTCTTCCTCCTCCTCCTCCTCGCTCCTCTTCTTCTTCCTCCTCCTCCTCCTCCTCGCTTCTCACCCTGCCCTTGTTCTTCTTCCTTCTCACCCTGCCCTTGTTCTTCTTCTTCCTCTTCCTCCTCGCTTTCCTCCTGCTCTCCATTGCCCATCTGTTGTGCCCTTCTGATTACAGGAGCATCCCCCATTTGCAGTGCAGCGTTTTCCTTGGAGCGTTCCGTGGCGCCCCTCCCAATCTGCTCACACAGGATTTTCCGTTTCGAGCACGAAGTGGCTTTTGTGTGATTCATTGCCCAAGCGGGGTGCACCTCGCATGTACGCAAGGACAGCTCATGTTTCCTCCTCTCCTGCCCTCCTCCTGCCTCTTTCCTCCTTTCTCTCCCCCCCTCACACCTTCATCCGCTACTCCTTCATCCTCCCCCTGCTCCTCTCCTCATGTCCTCTCTCTCCAACTATCCTCCTCCTTCTCCTCGGCCTCCTCCTCCTCCTCCACCTCCACATCATCATCATCATCATCATCATCATCATCATCATCATCATCATCATCATCATCATCATCATCATCATCATCATCATCATCATCATCATCATCATCATCATCATCATCATCATCATCATCATCATCATCATCATCATCATCATCATCAGCATCATCATCATTATCATCAACATCATCATCATCATCATCATCATCTTCTTCATCATCACCATCATCACAATCATCATCTCATCATCATCCTCATCATCATCATCATCATCATCATCATCATCATCATCATCATCATCATCAGCATCATCATCATCATCATCATCATCATCATCATCATCATCATCATCATCATCATCATCATCATCATCATCATCATCATCATCATCATCATCATCATCATCATCATCATCGTCGTCGTCATCATCACCATCACCATCACCATCAGCATCACCATCATCATCATCATCACAATCACCATCACCATCACCATCACCATCACCATCACCATCACCATCACCATCACCATCACCATCACCATCACCACCACCATCACCATTACCATCACCATCTTCATCCCCGTCCCTACTTGCCTACCTACCTGTCTACCTACTCGTCTACCTACCTACCTCCCTACCAGCCTACCTACCTATCTGCCTACCTACCTATCCTGCATGCCTGCCTGCCTGCCTGCCTGCCTGCCTCCTTACCCACCTACCTACCTACCTACTTCCATCCTGCTCGCCTCCTTCGGTGCCACCTGCCTCCTCCTGCACGGAGTGCCCAGCGCCGACATCGGCGCCGACCCTGCCTTTGTCACGACCTGGGTCTCTGGCGCCACGGGCCGTCTCGGAGGCCGTCTTGGAGGCCGTCTTGGACCATCTTGGGCCGTCTTGGAGGCCGTCTTGGACCACCTTGGGGCCGACCCCGCCCTCGTCACGACCTGGGCCTCGGGCGCCACGGACAGACGCCGTGACAGCCGGCCCTCCATTGGCCCGGACCTCCGGCAGCGCGCCTCGGTCTCCCGGGAGCATCAGCCAAGACTGGGATGACGCGCAGGTCCCCGGGATGGGTCCGAGAGTCCAGGCCTCCTCGCGTCGTGATGTAAGTCACGACGGGAGGCTTCTCGCTGTCTTCGGTCTCCGAGGGCCTCTCACCAGCGTCGGGGCCGCAGCCAAAGCATTTCAGGATGAAGAACCAGTCCTGGGGAAGGGGTCCAGAATTCTGGGGTTCAACGTTTTGAAAAAACACACACACACACACACGATGTTTGAGGGTCAATATCACGAGCAAAGTCGGCGGAAGTCTGGGGGCCCCTCCTCCTCTCCTCCGTTCCTTGCTCCTCCCCTGAGCCCGCCCTTCCTGGCCGCCAGAGTATGTCCGCATTTACCGCCTCGGAGTTGTGTTCCAGCACCCCAGGGAGCGGTGGACAGGAATGTGAGGGCGTGCTGCTGTACGCATCACCTCTCCCCAGGGACTGGCACAGGGGAGCGGAAGCCGTGGACGTGAACCCAGACATCTGACGATGCGTTTTTTCCAGTGCGCGGCCCCAGAGGTCCCGACCCCTTCCCCAGGGGCAGTCCATCGTCCTGGATCCACTGTGGATGATCCTGGGGCCCCCTGGACGGGCCCCAGAGTCCGACGCCGAGGACGAGCCGCCGGCTGGCCAGCTCAGATCGCCAGAGATCTTTGTGGATGCCCGTCGGCGCTGCGCTCCTCCCTTCCGACCACCTCGCGCCTGGCATGAGGGGCCGATCTCTGCCACCACCACCACCACCATAGGTAGGGGAGGGAGGAGGAGCAGCAGGAGGAGGAGCTGGAGGAGGAGCTGGAGGAGGAGGAGGAGGAGGAGCAGCAGGAGGAGGAGGACCTTCCCGTCCTCCCTTCTCCCCCGCCCTGCCGGATGGCAGTGGTGGTGGAAGCTTGGCCCAGCATATGGCAGCCCCTCCGCAGCGCCCGCCGCCGAGCACGGCAGCCCCGGCACGCCGCGCGGGCGGCCAGGAGAGGACGGGGCGTCGCCGGCCTGCCTGGCGCGCCTGCGGGGCGGCGTCGCCCGGCGGCGGCAGGGTGCGACCCCCTTCGGGGCCGAGAGCTCCGCCGCCCCTCACCGAGCCGCGCTGCCACTGCTCGCAGAGGGCCTCATCGCAGGCGTCCGCAACAGGCATGCTGGCTTCGATCGACTTTACCTGTAGATTCCCCTCGGCGGATCCAGGCCGTTGGCGAGTGGTTGTTTTGCGAGTGGAGCGTGCTCGTCTAGCCCCGGACCTCCGACGTCGTGATTTCTTCACAGCGTCTCCGAGGAGGGGATTTATTCATGACCGCCGCCGGGGGGATCGATCTTCTTGGACCTCCGCAGGGGGTGAAAATGGGCATGTTCGGGCCCCCAGGGGCCAAAACAGATATACATACTTACCAACAAAAACATATCCATATTCACCGCCCGCTGGGGCACCAGGACGTCGGTTCCCAGGCGGTGGATATGGATAAACCCCCGCCTCGTAGCGTCGACCCCCAGAGGTCTGGACCCTTTCACCGGAGCCGGTGTTCAAACCTGAGTCGTTCTTTGACGGTCCCGAGGCCCGGTGAGGGCCCCCTGAGGCCGAGAATAGCGATAAGCCTTCCGTCGCGACCGTTTTCACAGTGCGAGGGGGTCTGGGGACGTCTCTACCACGTGCGCGGGCACTTGTGGTGTGGTATTCCTCTGCTCTGACGGGGGTGGGGTGGTCGGAGGAGAATCGGAGACCATCCCCCTCATCCTCCTTCCCTTGCCCGCCTCCTCCTCGCCGGGAGGAGGCCTGCGTGCCTGCTTGCCTGCAGACCTGCCTTCTGCTGCTCTTTCTTCGCTTTCCCCCTTTGTGCTCCTTCTCTTACCTGTGCCGCCTTCTTCTCTGCTGCCCTCTCCCTTCCCTGCCTCTCTCCTACCTTATCCTCCCCTTCCCTCCTTACTCTTTCCCACCTTCTCCCCTTCCCCCGTACCTGTCTCCTCCTCCTCCTCCTCCTCCTCCTCCTCCTTCACCTCACCCCTTCTTTTCCCTCCTCCCCTTCCTCCGCTCCCCCCTGTCTCTCGTAGCACCACTTCCCATTCCTCATCCTCTCCATTGTCCATTTGCCTCAGTCCACCACGCTCCCAACGTCCTCCCAACGTCCCAGTCCAGTCCACCGTCCACCGTCCTCTGTCCACTGTCCTTAGTCCACCGTCCTCGATGTTCCATCCTCCGTCCTCGCTTCTCCCATGGCGAGGTAACGGCACGAAGTTCAACCTCGTCCTGCAGTGTTCGGAGCCTGTCCCGGCCCTTGCCGCCTCTTGCGCCCACTTTTTGGCGGGATGCCCTCTCGCGGGCTGCTGGTGCCGCTCCTCCCACCTCTTCCGCAACCGCCCTCCGCATCCTTCTCCTTCTCGTCGTTGTCGTCGTCCTCCTCCCTTCCGCTGCTCCCTGCTCTCTACCTTTCTCTTCCATCCCACCTTCTCTCTCTCTCTCTCCTCCTACCCCTTCCCGTTTTTCCCTTCAGCGTTCTCCTCCCCTCCTGCTCCTCCTCGTCCTTCTCCTGCTCCATCCTCCCCGTCCTTTCCACTCCCCCCCCCCCTAGCCGCTTCCTCCTCCTCCTCCTCCTCCTCCTCCTCCTCTTCCTCCTCCTCCTCCCTCCTATTCGTATCTTTCTGCCGTGCAGGGAGATCAGAAGGAGGTAGAAGGGGGATTATGATGAGGAGGATGAGGATGTGTGTGGGGTAGGGTGATGATAATATCACATGATGATGATGCTGATGATGATGATGATGATGATGATGATGATGGTGACGAGAAGGAGGAGGAGGAGGAGGAGGAGGAGGAGGAGGAGGAGGAAGGGGATGGGGTAATTACCAATATTAATGATGGTACTGCCTATCATGAAGAGGGTGGTGATAGTGATGGTGATGGTGATGGTGATGGTGATGATGACAGCGATGATGATGATGATGATGCAGCTGAAGATGATTATGATGATGATGGTGATGATGATGCTTTTGATGATGACGATGCTGATGGGGATGATGATGATGATGCTGATGATGATGATGATGATGATGATGATGATGATGCTGATGATGATGAGATTATGCTGATGCTGATGCTAATGCTGATGCTGCTGATGATGATGACGATGATGTTGCTGCTGATCATAATGACGATGACGACGATGAGGATGCTGCTGATCTGGATGATAATGATGATGATGATGATGAGGATGTTGCTGCTGATGATGAGGACGACGAGGATGATGCCGATGCTTCTGCTGCTGCTGATGATGATGCTGATGATGATGATGATGATGATGATGATGATGATGATGATGAGGGTGATGAGGGTGATGATGACGATGATGCTGCTGCTGCTGATGAGGATGATGATGACGATGATGATGAGGATGATGACGCTGATGAGGATGATGCTGATGATGAGGATGGTGGTGGTGGTGGTGGTGGTGATGATGATGATGATGATGATGATGATGATGATGATGATTATGATTGTGGAGGACGATCATTGGAGAGGAAGCATGCTGCCAAATCATTTCCAGATGTCTACAACATGTGTCAAAATTGCTTAAACAGTTAAACACATGATTCAAACAATTCCAGGACACTTTTCCGACATTTTAAACACATTTTTTATTCGATGATAGGAAAACCAATAATACAAGGGCTCGTGTTGGGGCGGGCGTGTCCCTGCTGCAGGAGGAGCGTTCGAGAGTGGCAGGAAGTAGTCTGGTGACGATGCGTGAATGATGCTGTGGCCATGCTGGGATCTCTTTGGACGATCGTCAGTTTTCCCTCCACAGCCCTCTCCTGTAGGAGCATATTCCCGACCTCACGCTGGCAGCCCAGCCCTCGTCGCCGGGCCTGCGGGGGATGGGGCCCCAGGCGCGCGCGGGGGTCGGAGGCCAGGCGCAACCGCACCCCTCCTGAGCGGAAGGCGGGCTTCCATGCCCGATGCTCGCTCGACGACGAGGACGAAACGACGACTGCGGCGATTGCGATGAAGCGACGGCGACGGCGACGATGGCGCAAACGAGGACGACGACGACGGCACCGGCGACGAGAAGCAGCATCGAGGACGGCAACTATCTCAACTACGACGGAGTCGTTCTGATGATCAAGACGAGCTTTTCCCTACAGTCAGTCTAGGCGACGGGTTTTGACATCGCTCCTTAGTCCCTCCCTCACTCCATCTCCTTCCTGCGCCCTCCGCCCCTGGCCGGCTTCTGGACGGCCCCAGTGGAGCGGACCCCCCGCCAGTTCGCAACCAGGCTGGCACCGTCCACAGCTGCCCTGGAAGTCGCTCTCGGTTGCCAAGGTGCCCCGAGGCGAACAAGCAGCCTGCTCGCTGTCGTGGGGCTTGTGGCAGCCGTCCCACCCGTGTGTTACGAGACAAACCTGACGTATTTACTCTGGTGACCGCCCCCCCAAAGGAGAGCCTGTAACGGTGCTCCTCCCCCGCCTCCTCCGCGCTCCCTCCCTCCTTCTCGGGTCGGACAGGAGGGGGCATTGGGAAGGGGGGTATCAATTCTGCTGCGTGCAGCTGGTTTTCGCTCCTCCGCCAGGCCGTTTCCTTGGCACATCGCCGCCTCCGGCGCTGGGAGCACCCGCTGCATGCATCTGATTCGCCAGCCCCCCCCTTGCTATCCCCCCTTTCGTCCGCCCCTCCCGTCTCTCCGCCCCTTCGTCTCTACACCTTCTTTTGAGGCGGCCTCTGCGCTGGCGCACTACTGCGTCAGCGGGCCCCGCAGTCTCTCGACCCCTCCCCCCAACGCCTCTTCGCTGGGCGCCGCGCTCCTGCGTCAGCGCTCCTCCCCCAGGAGGACTTCACGCTGACGCACTTCTACGTCAGCGGGCCCGGGCCGCGGTGCACGGAGCCCATCCGCAGCGGCCTTGTGTGGGTCACGGACCAGCAGCCAGAACCCGAGGAAGCGCGCTTGCTCGGACGACGCTGACGACAACGAAGCGGATGGCGACGAACAGGGCGGCGACAACGAAGTCCTCGTCCTCATCCTCCTGACATCCTTTCCTCCTCATCGTTCTTCTCTTCGCATTCCTCCTCCTCCCCCTCCTCCTCCTTCTCCTCCTTCTCCTCACTCAAATAGGGTATGCCGTTGTCGTTTGGCCCTAGCGCTGGCGCGTACCGGATGGTTTCGAGAATTTAGTAACTTCAGCTATCACATCATTTTCGTTTCATTGCCACCAGCCCAGCAATTCTGGTAGAAAGTGGAGCTGGGCGCGATCCCAGATCGCTATCCATGGAAGACGCGCAGGGTGCGAAGTGGACGCGCATTCGCACTTCCCCACTCCCCGCAGTGGGTACCACCCTCCAATCCCCGAACAGCCTGTGCTTATGTGTTCTGCAGCCCCACGGGCCATTCGCCCCGGGCGCCCACGGGCACGATGAGGCCAACGCCAGACCGTGCGAGTCCCTGTGGAAGCCCGGCTGCGACGGCAACTGCAGCTGCTCGCTACGTGCAGGTCGTCGGCCTACATGAGCGCCACGACTCCCAAGACTCCGCACAGCTGTTCCGTACTGGCCGCTGCACGCAGCGTCTTGCGTTGGACCGCTTGAGTTGGCGACCACAAGACCGGCCGTCCGGTCCCAGTCGGACGGTTGGCTCCCGCCAGGACCACGCGCATGAGTCTTGTGCGTGAGACAGGCAACCTGAGGTAATACCCGCACAATCTCTTCGGCATTTCTGACAGAAGAAGCTGAACGAGCCAAGGAAAGCAAGAAACGAGGAAGCGTGACCGTCAAGCGCCAAAAGAGGGTAGAAGACGTTTACGACGACATCGGCGACGACCTATCCGGACTGAGACACGGAGAAGCAGCTTGCGCAGCTGTTCAAAGATGCCGCCGTCGACCACGCCAGCAACTTCCCCAATGGTGAGCACCTAGCCGAATCGGTCGCAACCGGAACCACCGTTCCGAGTTGCATTCCAGCGTCGTCCTACCAGTCTACGAACGTAGAGCAAGTCATGGCCACGGCCTTTACCTTGGGCCTGGACATGGATCTTTGCGAGCTGTGTGGGGAGGAGGCCCGCACCTCGCATATCGCCAGTCGACGTCATCTAGCGACTGGGGAGAATTTCGACCTGGTGACCGGCTGCTACCTGGGTGGCCCCACGGAACGACAACGTTTTCTCACATACCTCAGGACCGACCACGTATTGGTAGTGGTTATGGCGTCATCCTGCCGCAGTGTTGGACCTCCTCTAAGTTGCCGCAAGTACCATACTAACAACGAGACGTGGAGGGCACAGTCCGACGAGGACTTTCCCCGCATCATCCTCTGTGGCCAGGAGGCGATTGCGTGCCCAGATCTAGGGAGATTTTTGTAGAGCAACCGAGTCGCACATGGCCCAGCGCCGTGCCGCCGTGGGACCAGCCACCGTGGAACCAGACGTCACAACATCCCCAGGTGGATGCGGTTGTGTTCCGCCAGTGCTGTCTGGGGGCCACGGGCCCACGAGGGCTCCCACCTGAGAAACCCTCTGTGGCCATCGCCACCGCACCGCACCTGCTTGCGCCATTCAGAACTCTGAGGCACAGCGGGAACCGCGATCGCGATGTTAGCTGGCGCCGCAATCCACGCGCCGAGACACTGCAGGTTTGGCCTTGGCGCTTGGCAGAGCGCGTGGTGCAGCGCATGGTCGCCCCCAGGGCTGCGGTGGATGGCTCGGCTGTCCTTCTGGTCGAGTCTGCCCAGCCACAGGCTCGCAAGTCAATGCGGTTGCGCTCCAAGAGCTTGAGCGCGTGGAAACTATGGAAGCACCGCCGCCGCCGGCGTTCGGCGAGCCAGTCAGGGCAGCACGCGAGCGCCGCGCCAGCCAACGTGGGAGTTTTCCTCGCGAGGCTCGTATGCCGCCAGCTCAGGACACAGGTGAGTCCCGACGCCGCCGGGCCCCCGCCAGGTCGGGGTCCCACCGACAACCTAGCACCTCCGCCGCAATTTCAGGATCTCTCTGACGGGGGCGAACCGCCGCCACCACCAGATCCAGCAGCTCCCCAGGCCAAGAGCACCTCGACCACAAACGCGAGTCATGGACGCTTCGAGTGGTCATGCGCTGGAGGACTGGACAAGCTCCGACGCGACGCAGAACTTTCCCGTTTTCGGACAGGTGATGCATCGCAAATGCGACGGGGCCGCTCGTGGCACGCTGCGCGGGCGCAGATGGAGAATGTATCGATTTCAGCCTGATGCCCGCACTTCGCCATCCAAGTAGTTGCAGGTGTCGTCGACGCGCCAGAAGCGCTTGGCCTGGGCTTCCAACGCGGCGCGGATCGCCCCATCGGTTGAGCTGGTCGCGGCCCCCGACCAAGATGTCGAGGGGGGCGTCCTGTCCTTCCGCCATTGCCACATCTGGCACGTGGTTGGCAGAGCCGACAGGTGGCATGCAGCGCGTCCGTTCGCGGGAGATGCCAGCGATGCCAGTCGTCGTTCCCCCGAGCGGCTGCTCAGCCTCCCTTCGTGTTGGATCTTTATCTTCGGACCTTTCAAGGCCCTGGCTGTTATCGGCGAAAGCGGTACTCTTGGATCTGAAGGTATGCCGTTCCTCGACCAACATGGCAGTGTGGCCCGAATGCGAGCCCCAGACCAGCATGCCCGAATGATGCAGCGACGGTTTGCGGTCCTACTACGTGCCATGCACTGCGCAGATGAGCAACTCAGGCGTGAAGGCTCAAGTCTTACGAGTCACCATGCCCGACCTACTTTCTGAGGCAGCATTCGCCGGCAACTCGTTGAACTCGTGCGGATGCGCCATTCCATTTCAAGTATGGGTTGGCTGGCAACCTGTGATGCCGCCAGATATGTCCGCACTTCCCGACGACGCCGCTGGCGCTGCGCGCGCCCCCCGCCGACTTCGGGAGCTGGCGCTGCAGCGCATCGTGGAGGCCTCGGCCCTCTCGCGAGTCATCCGCGCCTCGGCGACGAGCTTCGCGGTCCCAGGGTGGGCCCTCTACGAGTCAGGAGAGCTAGTCGACTTCTGCCGAGCTCCATCCACCAAGGGTGTCAGCGGGGGGGCTGGATCAGCAGTCGTATTTAAGAATGGTCACGCAGGATGGTGCGGTGACTGTCAGTCACCGAGGCGCCGAGCCACTTTGCCGCCTTGGTGACGCGCGACGATTGGTGGACTTTGCTGGGCTGGTTTCGGGAGTGACCAGCCAGATTACGACGCCGCGCCGCCAGGCATGGATTATGGGTGAAAACGCATGCATAGCCTTGCGCCGAATGCAATAATGTTGCCACAGTCATCATCACTCGACGTCAGGTGGCCGTCGGTTTCGAAAAGCTGGCCAAGAATGTCTTCGACCTCTCCAGCGTCGTGGCCTTTCGAGCGGGGCGTGCCCTTGGTCGAATGGTCATCGGAATTCGCCGCGACGGATCACTTCTGGTCTGGTGGAGGCCGGGCCATCGCGAAGGGGGGGGCCAGTTGGTGGATCACGGAGACTGGACAACGCAGGTTATTCTCGGCCACCCGGTGCCTGGCGGCTGCTGTGCCCGACTTCGGGCGTGGGTCGCCAGGTCCACCAAGGCTGTGATCGGCCGCGACGCCGACCTACTCTCGCCCGCCGACTTCGCCGAGCACGCAGCGGCATCGGCCGCAGCGGTGTTGGAAGACTTCCAAATCTGGGTCGACCACAGTTGCTTCTCGCGACGACCGCGTCGAGGAGCTAGGAACATCCCGGACTGCGCGTGGGAAGGCAGGAGGAAATCGACGCGAACCGACAACTGATCCAACGAAGAATGTGCGCATCATCCGACTGCGCATGGCCCTGCTGGGTGTCAACGACGTCGACGCCGACCTCGTCGCGACCTACGTTGGCACCTCCTCGCGACTCTCATGAGGGATCATTGTTCTGGAGGCGGCTTGCCAAGGATGGGCGACTGATGCCTGGGGCGTCAACGAAGCTGTCTGTAGGGATCAGTTGCAAAGAAGCGCCAGATGCCGCGGGGGAGGATGATCGAGAGGTGGATTTTGAGCTTTCCCCCGATGTCGCTGCCGTTCTCCTCGGAAGCCAGGCGCCGGCAGAAAAGATGCTCCGAGGTGCTGATCTATTCAAATCATCAAGGCCACCAATGGCCCATGCCAGTATATCCTCTCGCTATGTGACAACGAGTGCATTGCCGAGCACACAGATGACAAACCGCGTTGCATTTACTTGGGACTCGGAGGAAAAAGGCAAAACTACGTCGATGCTCGGGGGGTGCGTTTGGGGAAGGCGAGCTGGATATATCAGGAGGTGCTATCATCCGTTGCGGGACACGACGCCCCCGGACAAGCGACGGAGGATAGGAATTGTACCAGGCAGAGAAATCGGCGCTTTGAAGCCTATCGGCAGTGCCAAGCTTTCTGGCATGTCCAACTCTGAGCTCGTCTCCGAAGGCCTCGACAAGCTGTGCCTCGGCCTACTTATGGCCGTGGCCTTCGCACTCGTCAAGCGCGCCGATTCGCGTGTCTACGCAGTCGCAGTGCAGCGCCGTGCCGCGGCGCTCGCGTGCTGGCGCATCCGCGAAGTCAACGCGTAGGTCGGATGGGCTAAGAGTTCGCCGCTGAGGATGCATTACACTCCTATGCGATGTGCGTCCAATTTGGAAACTTTGGAAGTTCATGGCGATGCAGCCAGTCGAGGGGGATCGAAGGAGATCGTCCGTGCAGGTCGAGCCCTCCGCGGAGTGACCTCCCTCCCATGCGCTGCGCGGACGCTGCGCGGCATGGCTTTTCCTTTTTGCGGACAGCCTTGCCGCCGACTCGACAGGCAGCGCGGGGCATTCGAGACTGTGATGCGAAGCACCTTCGCATGCGAGCTGGTGGCCGCGATCAGTTCCGCGGATCACGGCCCGGCTCTGGCCGCCGCGCTCCATGAGGTGGCCGAGGGCCCGCGCGGGCCCGGCGCCGCTGGCGCCAACCTGATGAGCAGCTGCCCTCGGCGCTGCAGATCAAAGTCTATTTGGGATTACTGGGCGCAGTCGCTGCCCTGGCCGCGACCCGGTCCAGGCCGCTGGCAGAGTGCGCACTCCTGCCGCGCGTGATTTGATTGCGTGATTTCTTGTGCCCGGGCCAGTTTTGGGCCCTGAATTGGGAGGGCGCGCGCGACTTGGTGGCCGACGGACTTGCCGAGGGCAGCGCTTGCCGTGCTGCCTTCCACGACTTGGGCTCGCATCGCCAGCGTGCTCGCGTGCCGTGCACTGTCGCGCTCAACTCGGCAGGCAAGCTCACTGCGCACTCGGGTCAAGGGCACCAGCCGATTGCGTGAGACGACCAGCAGTGACCCGTGCGACCGCTGTGACCCTGTTCGCCCTGAGAAGAAGATTCTTTCTATCTGCGTCATCTCCTACCTGAGAGATCTCGCAGTCCCAGTGAGTACTGGTCGGGGCAGACAACGTCTGCATGCCATCCCTTCGTTGTCTTGGGGCGGGGAAGATCCTGGCGCGACAGTGCATGGCAGGCGTCAGGTTGAGAGACATCGGCTGATGTTGGAGGTGTGATTGCATGAGTAGT